CCTTCACAATTTACCCCTTTACTGACTACTTATTAGAATAGGAGCAAATCTATGAAAATGGCACACAAACACAGCTACTCTGATTCCTGCACAAACTAGCCTTTAGTAGTGAAAGCACTGTGCTTCAAGATGCAATTAAAGAGAGAGGCTTTGGAAGATAAGGTTAAATAACCCCACGTTAGGAAGTCAAGGTACTTACAAGTATCTTGCAAAGGAAGGGGTCAGATAAAACCAATTCCTCTGCCAGCTTTACTTACTGAAGTGAGTTAAAATACCTACAGAGCATGGGGAATATGTAGGACTGAAAAACCATGAAGCTGGAATTTGTATTTCAGACCTCAGCCCTTGCTTTATTTTTTGCCACATGTGTAACGCGAGGAGGACCTTACATGACAAATGAAACCGGTGATATCACGTCTTCCTCAACTCGGAATTATTTTTAAGAAAGTAAAGAAAGGTTTTGGCTGTGTTGATGTCATGGGAGGGTGGAGAGGAAGAAGCAGCAGAAATGGTCTATGTACTGTGTCAGTACTGTTTTGTCTGGCACTGCCGGCGCTTTGCCAGCCCATGCTTCTTCACATGAAGAGTTGGTCACAACGTCTCGCTAACATAGCCTTAATATTGTATTCACTTTTGCACTAAGCATTAAATAATAACATTAAAATATACCCCAGTTTGGATATTCAAGGCTGGAAAATCGTTCATACAGTTAGCAGATGGTTTTGAAGGGGCTCTGCTCCTTACCTCGTAAAATGGAGGGAGAGGTAACTGGGGAAAAATAAGGCAAAATGGTGAGCCAACTTCAAGGCTTTGTGTTTGGATGTAGGTCAGATTGTGCCACACTCGGTTAAAAACGAAAACATTCAAAGGCATGGTGAAATCTGCCTTTTTGAGGACCAAAACTAAAGAATGCATCAACAGGAGACAAAAAGACTGTGAACCATCCTTCTTAAGGGGTTGGATGATTCATCAGTGTGGAGCTGACACAGCTCAGACACCTTTCCCTGATTGGGAAATTTTAATGAGCCACCTAGGATAAGAAAGCTGCTGAAAATTCCCTCTGCAGTTCTGCAAATCAGCCCAAGCCGCAATTGCCAGGGTTTGTTTTTTTACCTTCTTCGGTATCTTGGAGTTAATTGGTGTGTTGCCCCCCACCCCCCACTTTTTTTTTTTAATTTGTGGAAAAAATATCATATCAAATGTCTAAGTCTATCCCCTTTCAGCTCAGTGGGAATTGTGTACAGAAAGGTCATTAAAAGGAAGTGAATGGAAGTAACCACATAACTTGAACTACAAGAGTTGGAAAAGAAACCTCTAAAAACCAGGTTAGCTTTGCAGCGCTCACTCCTGATGCATTTGGAGAGCACAAAGGTCAACTGAGCTTTCATCACCTCCAAAGATGCAGCTAAAAAGGGAAGGAAACAGTAATGAAATGACTGCATCTGTCAGCTGGTGGAAACCAACATAATCCCACTAGAAGATGCAGTTTAAATTAGATAACAAATCTGAGGCTGGTGAAGTCGCGTACCGGGAAGTCAATGTTTCATTCAGTGTTACAGACAAGGTTCAACATTCAAATGCCATCCTGAATCATATTCATCAGGATCCTTGCTAAAACACACTGCCACTCCTAAGGCCCTTAGGTTTCCGCGATGTTCCTGCCTGCTTATGGAAAAGGTGCATGGCTACGCCGCTGGGGCTCGGAGCAGCGCCAGGGAGAGGACCACTGTGCCCTGAGGAACGATCTTCGCACCTGAGATGTTGCTGTCCTCTGACCAGCCAAACGCATCTGAATTAACCCACACCCCTCAAATGGTTTCTGGGTCCTGGGCCAGCTCATCCCACACGTTTATGCCCCGTGGCACTGCGGTATGTCACGCTGCAGGCTGAGGCTGTGCCCACGCCGGCGCATTGGTTTGGACGAGGAGCGTGCTTTTGTCCCACGTGTCCGTCCTGTCCCTTGCTTTGGCAGAGCCACCTCCAAGTACACGGACCATCTTGCTTCCAGGTGCAACCACGCCTGAAGATGCACTACAAGAACTAATGGGAGTTCAGCCCAGAAGGACAGCGCAGAGCCTGCCTGCAGTAAAACCTCCCGGCCTGACCTGTCCCCCGGTACAGAGCCCTTCCTGCTGCGCTGCACCAGCTGAGCCCAGTAACCTCCCTTGGTGTACACGGGTCTAGCTGTCTACACGCAGAATCATAGAATCACAGAATGGTTAGGGTTGGAAGGGACCTTAAAGACCATCCAGTTCCACCCCCCCTGCCATGGGCAGGGACACCTTCCACTCGACCAGGTTGCTCAAAGCCTCATCCAGCCTGGCCTTGAAGACATCCAGGGATGGGGCATCCACAGCTTCTCTGGGCAACCTGTGCCAGTGCCTCACCACCCTCTCCTGGAAGAATTTCTTCCTGATACCTAATCTAAACCTCCCCACTTTCAATTTAAACCCGTTACCCCTTATCCTGTCACTACAGGCCCTTGTAAAAAGTCCCCCCCAGCTTCCTTGTAGCCCCTTCAGGTACTGGAAGGTGCAATAAGGGCTCCCCAGAGCCTTCTCTTCTCCAGACTGAACAAGCCCAACTCTCTCAGCCTTTCATAGGAGAGGTGCTCCAGCCCTCTGAGCATCTCCGTGGCTTCCTCTGGATTCACTCCAACCAGTCAATATCCTTTTTATGTTGGGGGCCCCACAGCTGGATGCAGCACTCCAGGTGGGGTCTCACCAGAGCAGAGTAGAGGGGCAGAATCCCCTCCCTCGACCTGCTGGCCACGCTTCTCTGGATACAGCCCAGGATACAGTTGGCTTTCTGGGCTGCCAGCACACACTGCCGGCTCATGTCCAGCTTTTCATCCACCAGTACCCCAAAGTCCTTCTCCTCAGCTCATAACCCAGATTTGAACTTACTGCCTCTTTTTCCTCATGGCTAAAACAGGAGAAATGCTTCTTAGCTAGGCAGCCAGTTAAAGGCACTGATTAGGGTAAAGTTCCTTTGAGAAATGTATTTTTAAACAGATGTAGGCCAGCTTTTTAGCTATAAAGATGGTGGAAGGTACAATCCCAAGTGTTTCTGCTGACCCAGTTCTACAGGAACAGGCACCACTCTTTTACAAAAATGGCACAGTAAAAGAAATTTAAACTCTTCGATCCTGGTTTACCCAGGATCTCCAGTTCACTTTGGAACAAGTCTGGATGGCAGCTGTAGTTGGCTTCAAGCAGCCTCTAGGGGAGCCAGAAGATTGTACCTGGGCATTTTCAGGGAAGGAAGCTAGCCCGATTTCCTGTATTGCACGCCCCACATCAGCCTTTGTCAGTGTTATGTCTAATGCAAATTGCGATGGACACACTGGTCCTAGCATCCTGCCCAAAAGCTCAGTCTACCTACCACTTCCAGTCCCCATTTTAAAACTTGCTGAGCTGCGACATCTGTAAAGGCAGGTATGAGTTATTAAGCAGACCTCAGCCAGAAGTTTCCAGCCCAGACAAACTCAGGTGACAAATGGCGCATTCCCTGGAATGGCATCAGGGACACGGGTGCTGCGGCGAGGCCGATGCCAGGGCAGGCGTGCCTGGCACACAACCACGGCTGCCGGGGGAAGAAACCCTGTCAGAAACCCGTGAAGGTTATGTCGGCGCTACCCAGGCCCACCGAACCAGCCCTGTCCTCTCGTACCAATTCAGCTTCTGTCTCACAGATGTGGGCACGCTGCCTCATCTGCAGATTCTGCCAGCACAGCTAAAACATCTACTTGTCCTCAAACCTTAATGCAACCTGAATTTCCCTCTAACACTCAGAGGACTATTCACTCCTTCTCTTCCTCTTTTCTGGGGGAGACTGCCCACCTCTTTGCATTGTGGTTCAAAATCCATACTCGAAATGGAAGGGAGATACAAGTTATTTCATGGACTTTTAGTTCTTTGTAGAGTTGCACATGGGAGGGAAAGATGCACACCTACAAAAAAGCAGCTGTACAGCATCTTAAGCTACATGCATTCAAGAACACTGAGACAGTCTAAGTAATTCACATAGTGATGAAGAAGATTTTCATAGGAAAAAAAAAGTGCTTAGGATAAAAGAAACAAACAAAAAAAGGAAATCTCCAGACAAAAAGCAAAAAGCTTTTTCAGACTGATGAAATGATTTCAGTATGAGTCCAAGTTCCTACTAAGTACAAACCTAAATGCTTTCTCTGCAAGCACCACCAAGTACAGAAATCAAGAGACTTTGGCAAACAATATGCCCTGAAAGCAAAGCAGCCAGATAACACAAGATGAAAGTCAGCCACCCACAAGTTTAGGGTGGACACACAATGCAGATTTGTCAAATACAAAAGGAAACAAATCCTGCTGTCACAACCCCTGACTCTAACTCAGAAACGCTCTGCACACCATTTCCACATAGATGATTAATTCTAAAACCCTTGAACTCAGAGTCCATGGCAGGCTGGATAAAGAAAACAAAAAGCATGGGACAAACCTCACTCTCAAGAAAAGACAACCCGGTGGAAACACTTTGCTGGAACATCTGGAGTCGTCAGCGCTCCCGTTACACAGGGCGTAACGAGAGATCCTTGAACCAGCTCGGCTTGGAGCTGGGGTTTCATTAGGATGTGGCATGCTGGTAATTGCCTTTTACCAGCCAATGCACAGTAGTTCTGCCGTCTGCAGTATGCTGCACACCTACCCCTCCCTCCTTCCCCAGTACCGTGAGTGAACACAATCCCCACCAGGACAAGTCCTGTCCTCCCTGGCCAGCAGCCACGCACACCACCTATTTTCCAAACTCCAAGCTTTCTGCAGCAGTCTCTTCTTCCTCGCCTGCTCTGGGGTGCAGGTCCCCATCATCCGTGCAGTCCCTTGTGCCACTTAACATTTGGTCAGCACTTTCCAAAACAAGAGGATTCTGGCAGTGGATTATTTTTGTGTGTCCAGAAGATACTGGACCCTCTAGGTAGAGACTGAAAGGTAACTGAACTGACCGATCCAGCGCTGCCAGCTTACCTTTGGACCATTTCCCGGCTTCAAGTGATAACCAAAAACAAGTTCAAGATTCACAACTTTCTCTATGTTTTCTTCAGCTCCACCCACAGAATCCTGCCAAAAAAAGGCAAGGTGAGACTTCACATCAACCACAACCCCCTGGGAGACAGGAGCAAGGACTTTGGTGGCAGGAAGGATTTGCCTTTCAGAGGCTACAAGTCTGGCAGGCAGCAGGAAGGAGCCACCACCGCCCCGATCACACTGCTCCAAGGGCGGCCAGGCCTGCCCCCAGGAGATGCTGCGCGAATTCTGCTCCTGGCCAAGCCGCACCGGTGTGGCACAGTGCTGTGAGCACCACAGCAGCCACTGCTGCTGGAATTGTGGCCGGCACAGCACAGCGGTGAAGCCCCCAGTTCCACCTTCCCCGTCAGGGAACTGAGTTTCACTTTATGTAAATTCACTTGAAGTGGATTTCACTCTACAGTTCTGCAATAAATTCTGACTAAAAAAGCTACTTCAGGCTTTGGGGTCTAGAACTGCTTGATTAGCTCACCGAATTAAATCAGGCAAGTATCAGGCAACCCTGAGGTTCCCAAGCGCTCTCTCCCTTTTTCATGGCTCTTGTTACAGGCAGCAGAAAACCCACAGGTTAACACAAGGGTGACCAGACATTACAAATCATCCTTCTCCTGTAACATTAACAAATGGAGGAATGATGGGCTCACTCTGGGCCAGGGGTCTGCCGTTCTTCGGTGGTGAGCAGCCAGTGGCACCAGTCCAGAGGAATGGCTCTTAAGAGCAATTTCTGATTAATGAGAGCAAAGGAATCGCAACCAGTAGTCTCTTAATTTAATGCCACCGGTTCCACAATAAAATCTTAGAGCCTCCTTGAAACCAACTTTTATTATCCGATTACTTGTTCTGATGAGACTCATCACTGCTGTTGACCCCCTGCATTTGCCACACCCTCTGCAGGAACCGCTGCTTCACCCTCCCGCGAACGGTAGGAAAGGAGACACGAGAACAGTAGAACATTCATACCGACACGAGAAGCACTGCTTGTACAAACAGTAAGACTTGCCTTAATTAATGGTGGAAAATGAAACAGATTTAGGTAGTCATGGGTTAACTTCTCAATAGCAGTCTAGAAAAAAACAATCAGCAAAACCAGATGAGTTATTCAGTATCTCATACCGCAAATTCCAGCACAAAACCAGCCTAAGTCTGTGCCCACTGTGTTTTCCACTGTGGATACATCAGGGCATGTGAGAAGAGTTTAAAATACAGTCCCATTCTGGAAACTCTCGTGGTAGATCGGCCCCATTTCACATTCAGAGTCAGATCTGCTTAATCAAAGAAAGAGATGTTATGGGGGTTGTTTTGATTGGTTTTATTTACGCTCAATCAACCCAGGAAGCCAAAATGTTTCATTTGGGCATTATTGACTTTATTAAGTTCAATAATTTTCCCTGTAGGAAATGTAAATTAAATACATCAGTAATGGTGTGTGGCATAGAAAAAATGGCTGGTGAGCTAACGGGGAATAAATCTGTGTGATTTAGGAAGCTAAATTTGCAGGACTAGCAATTAGAACACAAGTATCTCTTTACTAGTAAAATTGTGGTATAAAATCATTGAGACCCAACAGAATTCTAAATGCTGTTTTTCAAGAAACCCTTTTCCAAAGCTGACTGCCACGAAACTAAACTCTCTTCTGTGGCTACAGTATTAACACCATTACTGCTGTCGTGATCACGTTTTCCAGACCATGATTTTCTTAACTCATTACAAACATTAGAAACTTAAAACACTGTGAAACAAAGCTTTAAGAGCAAAGCAACCTGGCCATTAATCAACCAGCTTTGAAGTTGTTTAACAGAGTTTTGTTAGTCAAAGTATGTTTTAAGCTATAGATGAGATGTGAAAGTTGCGAAGTTCAGAGATTTCAGTTCAAATAACTGTTTCCATATCTGCTCCTCTCTCAGCTAAGGAGAAATCCTCAGGGAGCACTCTTTCTGAAGATATCCAGAGCTTTCTGCCAGGAGAAGAGCCCTCCTAGGTGAATCGTTAGCAGCACTGACAGTCCAGCCCACAAGAAAACCCAGAACTACAAAGAAATATAAAGAACACAGCACATTTTCATGCTTCATAAAATGCTCAGGTTGCTCTGGCGTCTAGAGCTATATGAACCTCTAACTCTGGGTTGCTTTCTTTTTTTTTTTTTTAAATACCAAGTATGCTCTCTATTTAGCTTTAGAACTTTTCCTGGTTTTAATACTACTGAAAACCCATGCACTCCTTAATATTCACACTATAACCTATTGCAACATTCAACATATGCTGTTAAATACCTTTAAATGGATGATGTGTCCTCTGGAAACAATTCCCATGTCCTTTAAATCCTCCTCTTCTAGAAGAAGCAATCGTTTCCCAGTGATATGATGCTCCTTAAACAAGCTAGCATATACATTCATTTCACCAGAAGCATCGCCTTAAGATAAGAGAGGTTATTCAGAAATCCATAGGGTGCTTTACTGGAGGGAGAAAAAGATGAGCACAGGTATATACATTCATGAAGGGTACATACGAATAGATTTTACCTTTTCTAGTAAGTTGTTGCATCCAGAAAAACTGCAAAAAAGAGGAATCCATCTTGAAGTTCACAGTATCAACATTTTATACTACAGTTATTTGGAGTTTGCAAATAATTTGTTTGTTTGTTTGTTTTTTAAACAAAGTTTAAAAGTATTTCTAACTTTGGGTTGAAGGACTCAAGATTCGCCAGTGGAAGTGGTTCTTTTTATTTAGCGTTTTGAACCTGTGGGACATTAAAATCACTATGACACATCACTATGCTAGAGATCATCACCAATGTTCCCTGTTTAGCCTTTTAACTGAATAAAAGGATAAGTAAGACTCAATGCCATTATTTTACCTGAGATTCCCTTAAAAAGCCCTTAACTTACTTCCAGTTAATTGAAAGAAACTGGTGGCACACAGTGGGATAAAACCTTCAAACTCGCTGTGTCCTGTCCAAGTCTTGCTTAGACAGATCTTGGGGCCCAGCACCAATTATTTTCTGGACATTGGACAACGTGGCTGTTTTTTGAAGGTCGCTCAAATCCTTAATTTACTGATGGTCACTTCGGAGCCCTTCTGGAACACACGTTTCGCCTAACAAATAGCAGTAAAATCTCCTGTAGATGTTCTGATCCAGCTTTCCCTCCCCACACACCCACGGCAATTTGTCAGAGCGCTCCAGCGGCGCACCGCTGGCCACATTAACACAAAATACTCACCACATCTTCTTCGGTCCATGCACAAATATCAAAGGAGGGCAGCAACTGTGTGAGAGACATGAATTGAAAAGAAATCCGTCTGGCACATTTCTCCCCTCCACCCAAATTTTACACTGGTGGCTGATTTTATCTGGTTCCTTTTCCCCTGCAAAGGGCAGGACTTAAGGCTGTGACTCTCATATCGACATACTAAATCATTGGATTCACACTGACCACGGGCTGGCTCCAACAGTATGGTGGCAGTGCTAAATCCATCCCACCACCATATGCAGATAAAATTATCAGCAGATCTCAGATAAAACAATTTAGGAAGGAAGAGTAAACCGTCTGATGGCAAGGGACTCTGAGCTGCCTCTCCTCCCAGCTCTGACAGCACGGGAAGGCTTTTGCTTTTTGCAATTGCTTTGGTACCCCCTGATTCCTGCAATGAAATAACGCTGTGATTATGACTCTCTCCCGGACCATGGATATTTTCTGCAAAGGGAAGGAAAACTCTCACTAGCCAGCAGTGAAAGCAGAACTTGGAGTCAGGCCACCGTGGACAGTCTGCCTGTACCCACAAGTCACTTCTGGTTTCTGCCAAGGCTGCGTCACTGCCCCCCGACGCGGGGGGAGCACAGGCTGCCTGGCCTCCTCCAGTGCTGCCGCCCGCGCAGGGCACGCTGTGCTGCGTGCAAGACAGCGTTAGCTTTTGACGCACAAGGAAACCTTGGAGGCCAATCAGGAAGATGGCTGCTTTAAGTGAAATTCTGGGAGGGTCTGAAAGCTGACACAGATGTCACTGGAATACCGATTGCCATTTCACTCCTTCAAGCATACGGTAACCCAAGCTTCACCTTCTTGGCACTTTTACCCAGCTGAAGGGTTAGCATGGATTGGTACGTATGTACCTGGACTGTCAGTGTCTCTCAAAGGCTCCATACCATGATGCAGCTGCAACCTTACTCCATGTACACAACTGACTCATGAGACAGCTCAGCTCCCCGCCAGCCCCCAAGGCTTTGTCACCTCCTCCAGGGAGTCCTGCCACCCCGCGAGCTCTCCAGCCCCCACCCCCAGGCCAAGTGTGACCCCCGGCAGGTGCTCAGCCCTGCCTGCCTCCACCCGAACACCAAGCCGCAGGGCAGAGCTGCCTGCTTCGTGCCAGTCTGAGCACCTCCCAGCTCTCCGGGCATGAGAGCAGGGTCTAGTGTAATCCACCCACAACTTTCAGCCTTTGCAGCATCCACGTGGCACTCCCACTGAAGGTCTTGTGACTGCCAACACCCTTCGTCTTCCGCCTCTGTACCTAGACTTTTTGCTGCCGACCCCACTTTGAGTGCTCTTCAGGCCGTCCTCCTTCTCCACAATGTCTCAGCCAAACCTTGCCGGGCACAAGCCACCCGAGACCAGCTGCAGCCACCTCTGTGAGGAGGACCTAGCAGACCCTCACACCCATCCCTTCACCCACCGCTTCCCCAGGGGACGGAGCAAAAGGCATCAGGGTGAAGTGGCAGAAGGGAAGATGCAAAGGGAGACCTTCCTGACTTCTCTCTACTACATTGTATTCCAGCCAACATCCTCAACCTCCCTGCTGCTAAGTCAGGCATTCCCTATGCCAACAGCTCCCTGCAGCCTGGGCAGGATGCTGTGGGGACAAAGTAGTGCTGGGGGCAGCACCTGAGCACAAGGGAGGGCACATGGCAATTGGAAGCATCCTTAGGAAGGCAGAGGGGTTTGCCTTGCAAAAGTACTTGTAGTCAAGGCAGCTGATACTGCGGGAGGACCCTGCTGCAGTAATTTGTACGACTGAATCACTTACTGCAGAAGTCCAATATTGCATCTTTAGTTACACGATGGTTTTTTTCAGCTTTTCTCATGTTTAAACACAACCAGTGGCAGAGTATGTCCTGTATTATTTAATTATTTTTAAGAAACACAACCGAAAAAGGGAGAATACCAGAGAAATGTCACACCGTGAGTAATACAAAAAGTGGCTTGAACCAGCAGACATAAGGAACCTCTTGAAACACCAGCATTTTACACAGGGACACAGATGCATAAAATTTACTGTCAAAATGTTTATTGCAAAATAGAAGTTTGGAACAAAGAGAAGCAAAGGAAAAAGTTCACATTAAAAGAAAGTTTATGACACCAATTGAGGAAATCGAATACATTGCATAACTTCTTTTTGTTTGTTTGCTTTGGTTTTACACTGGAAAATCAAATCCACAGTGTGAATAAAACAGGACATCGTATGTCAAGTGCAATAAAGAGAATAACTGATGCTGCAAGGTTTTACCACACAGAAGTGTAACATCGCATGTTCCACACAAAGGATATATTCAGTTTACAGCACAAGAGTTTTGGCACAGGCGTTGCGCTCAGCATTGTTTTTTTTCAGAAGGGAGAATGAAGGTTTCTAACACTGTGAAAACATTTTCTATTCAAATGTCATTGTTCACACTTGACGTGTAAGTAGCATTGACTCCCAGTATTCAGTACAAAACTTCTTCAGTAGTGCAAAAGCAAGAAATGCAGTGGACTATATCTGACTTTAAAAGGTATATGACTATTTAGCACACAATATAAAATGTTTAAAGAAGGTTGTTGGTTCTACAGTTTTAAAATTCAATCTTCACACACCAGAAATCTCTGTGCAGATTTTACAGTGTACACTAAGTCGAAGTCTGGGGAAAAAGGGAAAGGACTCTCCTCCAGATTCCTACCAGCGCATTTCAAGGGCAGTGAAAATTACTAAATGAACTTACTTTTCTACCTGAACATTCTACCTAGGACTGTAGTTAAAACTTCTGTCAAGTCAAGAGATCTTATTAAAAACCTGTAAAAGCTGCCTGATTACAGAAAAAGGAACTACAGTACTAAAGACACGCAGTAATGCTGCTGAATACTGAAGAGCTATATGCACGCTATGGATATACCGCTCCTGCTGACAGCAATATAAATCATTATTGCATCAAATATTTAACTCGGAACAACCACTTTAAAACCCAGAAGGAAAGGGAATCGACATCTTACAAAACCACTGAAACGACAAACAAATGACAAGTCAAGAACATGACTGCATGACCCGGGGCTGTGCCAGACCTCACCTCCTGGAAGCCCTTCACATCTAGAGTGAACAAGCTCCATGCCAGGCAGCATGCAACCGGCTGGGGATGCAGCACACCTACACGCTGTACCTTAGGACACTTGCTACTCCAAGAAATTAGTGTTGTGATCATCACAAAAGTGACTCGATCGAAAGTTTTACTCCATTAACTCCCCTCTCTAATTTTTCACCACTGCTGGAGGAAAAGAAATGGAGTTGGGCATCCTGTCTTGGTCCCAGCTCACCCTGTATCTTTCAGCAAGCCACAAGCCCATCCTCACCATTCTTCTCTTGGGTCATTTACCTACTGAAGTCTACGCTGGCAGTGCAACAGCCTGGGAAAAAACAGAGGTTCGGGCCTGGTTCTTTACCCTTCCCCTCTGTCAAATGCAGCAATATTATTTTACTGCACATACTTCCAGGGCATTACAGAATGTAGAAAAAACTGGGATCCCAAAAGGCCCGGTGGGGACTAGTATGCTGAGAGGTGTTCAAGGCACAGAAAGGCTTTTGGCAGCTTTGCTCACAGCCCACAGCAGCCAGAGAGACACCTTCTGAGTCTGGCAAATGCTTTCATAAGCTAGCAGGCTATGTGCTGTGGACTGCTGTGGAGATGTAGATATCCTGGTGATGATACAGGTAGAAGACAGATGGGGCCACACTGCAGAGCAAAATCAGGTGTGGAAGATGAAACACTCTGACCTCCTCCAACCAACATACCTGCCCACCACAGCCACTTTCAAAACCTTTATCTAGTGAGAAGCATACCAGAGACAGAAACAGCACAGCTTGATTCTCACATATGAGTTTTGGCTTGGAAACTGGAGACATTTGGTATGAAAGTCATCACAGGAACGTAAAAATGCAATCAGTACCATTATTTCTTTCAATAAGCATAGCTAATATCCTAAGTATAATACTATCTCAAGGGAACACGATCTTCTGCACCAGAAGAGTTTGTCAGTTCTCACCTTTTCTACAGTTCAGAGACCTTTGCTACTTTGAACACACAGGTAAGTTTTATAAGAGTTTCGTTTTTTCCTTAATATAGCTTAATTTGCTTTGACAAATAATGTATGGAGAAAGAAAAAGGAAAGGGGGAAACCCCCCCCACACATCTTTGTTTCATTAAAAAATACTGGAAGTAAGTAGATAGCAGAAATTCCTATGAGCACGCTACCAAATTCAGGTAACACTGCTGAAATAAGTTACACACCTGGGCAAGCACAAAAACTTAAAGACAAATTTAAATCATGTGATTCTGCAACTATGAAACCCTGTGTCATACTACTTATGGATTATTTTTACTTCTGTAAAGATGAAGGAGTAGATTTGCAAATTAAAACCCATGCAAATATAAACGTGCATGAAGTGCTCTGAGATTGTCAGATGCTGAAAAAGTGCAAAACATCAATGCTAGGGACAGATTTTTGGGGTTTTTTTTAATAATAAATGTACTGAACCAAATTTCATTTTCAGTTAAAGCTTTACAATCCTACACTGCTTATGCGCTACAGTAATTTATGCACAATGACACATATCTTAAGATCTAAAGTGCACATATTAGATTATACAAATCCATCAAATTTTCCTGGGTGCAAAGTGGCAGTTATAAAAATAGTATCATTGCTGTGGGTGTCACCAGACATAGACCTACAAAAATAGTACAAATTTCTACTGGAAACAGCCTATTTGCTCTGATTTCCACTTAATTATTTGCCCTCCCATGTCCCCTTCTCTCCCTAAAATCAGGTTCTTTGATGAACCTAAGAAGCCATCCCTACCTGTGCCAAAGGAGCAAGTTTTTCCTTGGGATACTCTGTAAACTTATTACATAATTTAAAATACAATTTATCACGATAAAAGCTTCTCCATACAAGAGGGTTAACCTCAAGCCAATGGATTTGCAACTGTCAGGAAGAAGGTGGAACATGGAATGGCATCCTACAGAAAT